TTTTTTTCCTTTTTTCTTTTTTTTTCCTTTTTTTTTTAAGTTGAAATACAGCAATGAAGTTACTTTTAGTTTCCATCTTGAGAGATTCCAGTTAGGCTAAGGAGACATAGGCTTTAAATAAGCCTTAAACAAGAAGAAAAGAAACAAAATCAAGAGCTGTGTTACTCTTTATAAAACAAATCCTGAAGCCTTTCACCTAAGCCCTAGCAACACACTTTCTGGAAGAGGGCTACCTGAAGTGGCTCCCCTTAAGAGTGTTACTGTATTTTGAGTTTCCTGTTGCTGTTGTTCTTTCAAACTACAGACAAGATTTTACCATCTTGTCTGACAACAAGGATCTGTGTGGTAGTTTTGATAAGTATTTCCTTTTTCTTTTTGACCTAGGTTTTTCAAGCTTCCCTGAAACTTTTAAAAATGATCATTAGCCAATATATACCAAAGCATAAACTAGGAAAACTAGAAACTTCTCATTGTGTGGAAAAAACGCTTCCAAATCTGCTTTGTAGAACAGGAGACTCTTCATCCCGTCTTCGCCTTGTGGCTTCTAACTTTATTCAGGTAGGTGCTTTTCCTCAAATTACGGTTTGATTTGTGTTAAGAGTGGAGATTTGCATTTGCAAGTGGAGAACATCTAATCAGACTTGACTTCACGTCCAGAGTTTGCTGCCATAAAGGGTTCCACCTTATAGGGAAGGCAAAGTAGCACCAACTTAGTATCTTTGCAGTGTGTTTTCTAGCAGGGTATCGTCACCTTTGTTGGGGGGACAGTGTAGGGAGATGCCTGCTGCTGCAGATGCAAGAAGGGTGTGACTCTTGTGTTTTTCTTGGTTGGAAGTGGTCTGCAGGGATGCAAGCAAGAAAGCACAACGTAATGCTCAGACTGTTGCAATTTGATTGCATTTTTGACAGTCAACTATGCCAAAGCATAAAAAAGATGCCCCTTTTAAAGGACACACTCCATTCCTTGGTCAGCATTGACAAAGAGCAGCTGTGAATTGCTGCTAGAGGATTACAGGCTCTATTTTCTAGTAGACTTTGGAAGAAAGAATGGTGATTCTGTGTGAAAATGTGTTAATTCAGTCCCAGGAGTGGAGTGAGTCACTGGCTCCGAGTTATTTATTCTTGCTTACATCCACACGTGGAGGGAAAAGACTTTTCTTTCACTGTAGTCGTACTTAGAATGTTAACTGGGTTATTGTGTGAAGCACTCTGGTGTGTCGCTACAACCCCAAAGGTGACGGATTACTTTATTACTACTGCTTGGCATGTTTATAATAGATTTTGTGATTGAATGAGAAAGGAAATGAGATATGGTTACAAATGTATTTTCATAGACAGGACATGGCCTGGAGAGAAGGAAAACGTGTTTATTTTGTATCGCTGCTAATAGATGATACCCTGTCTGAAAAAGCAGTTCTCTACGGAAGGTGCCACGTGTTTCTAGAAACCAGCACGTCCAAAACAGACAGGCTGACCCAGCAACAACTGCATCTGGCCCTCAGGACGAGGGGCTGCAGGCCCCCATCCTCTGCTGGAGTGTCCACCAGTGGACAGCAACTGGGCAGAGGGCTGCTTTGGGCTAGTAAATGTTCTGCTGCCCACCAAGAAATAAGCAGTGAGCTTTGAATAACAGCAGAATTCAGCCCTTAAAGTTATTTGTGAAGTAGAATGAGAAATTATAAGATGGCGTACGTCTTCTGAACCACTCTTGAAATCCATCTTGATGCAACGTCAAGACTTTGCAGCCTTTGTGGCACTTCTCATCTAGCTTCTCAGGTAGTTCAGTGTAAGATGGAGTTCTTGAAATTTTCCTTACAAGCCAGTTCTGTAAGGCTTGCTCATCTGAGACTGTCTAAGATTTTACCAATTTCTCTCTGATGCCAAAAGCAAGATCAAACATCTGTATAATCTTCTTTTTAAAACCTTGCAAGTAACTTCTGGCTGCTGAAGGAAGAAATACACAGCTACTTCTTGTGAGAGGCCTATTTCATTTTACTGAACTTGTTCTAAGTAACTTAGCATAACCCTACTTTGCAAAGACTGTTAATTTT